CCAGCACGTTCAGGCCCCGGGTTCAATCCCTGGTGTGCACACACTACACAGAACAAAAGCAAGTCTATGGAGAGCTGACAGATCTGCCCTTCAGCAGACCACATCTGATCTACACTCAGAGGGATAACGCCACACAGCAGGGCTGGGGAGCTAGCTCAGTAGAGTAAGTGCTTGCCTGGCAAGCACAGGGTCCTGAGTTCAATCTCCGGTACCACAAAAAACCCCACCACAACACAATCAGGGAAACTCTCAGGTGACAGTGGTCCCATGGGACCAGCGCAGCGGGGGTCCATCCAGCCATTCCTCTCATTCGTTCTTGCTGACAAAACTCTGATCCTGCGCCACTGCTGCCCTCTTGCCTGCCATGGCCAGTGCACACAGCAAACTGGGCTCGCCTTGGGCCAGGGAAGGGGCGCGTGGCTCATTCCTGCTCCCTTGCCACAGCTTGCTTTTGGGTGAGCCTTGGAACACAATTTTGGGTATCAGCTCTGAGAAGTCACTGTGGGTGCTCCTAGGAAAGGCTTCTTTACCTTAAAGGGGGGTCAGCAGCAAGCACACATCTTCCCTTGCCTGCGCTAAAGGTGGGAACTTACTAAAGTGGTAGCTGCCTTATAGGCAGTGGAACTGCTCTACATGAGCCTCAGAGTTGGAGCAAACACCACAGGGGGCTGGCACGGCAGGAGGCACAGTGGACATGGCCTACATGGTCACGGCCCACGTGGTCCGAGGAGAGGCAAGGCAGAAGGCAGAGTGACACGGCCCACGTGGTCCGAGGCAAGGCAGAAGGCAGAGTGGACACAGCCTGCGTGGTCACAGCCCACGTGGTCCGAGGCAAGGCAAGGCAGAAAGCAGAGTGACATGGCCCACGTGGTCACGGCCCACGTGGTCCGAGGCAAGACAAGGCAGAAGGCAGAGTGACATGGCCCGCGTGGTCCGAAGCGAGGCAAGGCAGAAGGCAGAGTGACATGGCCCACGTGGTCATGGCCCACGTGGTCTGAGGCGAGGCAAGGCAGAGTGGACACGTGGTCCGAGGTGAGGCAAGGCAGAAGGCAGAGTGGACACGGCCCGCGTGGTCCGAGGCGAGGCAAGATAGAAGGCACAGTGGACACGGCCCGCATGTTCCAAGGCGAGGCGAGGCACGGCAGAAGGCAGAGTGACATGGCCCGCGTGGTCTGAGGCAAGGAGCCATTCTCTGTGAGCCTCCCAGCCCTCCACTTCTGAGCTCCCTGTCATCTGAGGTCACAAGTCCACCACTGCTTAAGCCACTTGGATGTACATCTTCATTACTTATGAAGCAGCCATAGATCAAAAGCTATGGCTGACTGATCTACAAGGCCTATAGAAAGCAACTGAAGAACCCAGAACTGGGTCTGGAAAAAAAAAACCAACCTGGAAGAGGAGAATGGAAGTGTTCTGACATCTAGAGTCCTGTTAAGAGGTGCACTCACTCCTTGCTCAGGAAACAACTGACCTGGACAAGAACAGGCAGTCTAACCAGGAGCTGCCTGGAGAGGCCGTGTGCTGCTGGGTAAAGCATGGCACTTCCCATCCCGCTGCCTGGACGGCCAACAGCAGTGACTACTGTGGAAAGAACCCGTTCAGTGAAAGCATCTGGTAGGGAGAAATCTCCACACCTCGTCTGCGGAAAGACCAACTATACGGACTTCTCAGAAAAAGACATGGCGAGTGCTTTGCCAGGCGCCGTTACAGGCCTAACAGCAGAGGGGTGGAGAGGACAGGAGAAGGCAGTGACTACGGGCAGAAGCAGGCGAGAAACAGTTTAGCCACGTGTAGTGGCACGTGCCTGCAATCCCGGCACCTGGGAGGCTGAGGCAGGAGGGTCACTGAGTTCAAGTCTGGGCTGCACTACATGGTGAGTTCAAGGCCAGCCTGAACTACATAGCAATACTCTGCCTCAAAAAACCAAAAAGAAAGACACTTAAGCTGCTACTAAATTGTAGTATTCATATAACTGAGGGCTAGCTGAAGCGTTCTTCGACTTGATATCAAAAGCATAACTGGTAAGAGAAAAAGTCAATAATTTGGACTGCATCAAAATTGAAAACGGGCTGGGGAGATAGCTCAGTGGAATATGTGCCTGCCTGGCAAGCACAGGGTCCTGAGTTCAATCCCCGGTACCACCAAAGATAAAAATAAAAAAAAATTACAAAATTGAAAACTTACAAAAGATACTCTGAAAAATAGTTTGATAAGTAAAATCCAATATATATTTATCAAATAATCCAGTAACTGGGCTCCTTGGCATTTATCCCAGATAAGTTAAAATGTATGCCCAGGGCTGGTGAGATGGCTCAGTGGTCTAAAGCACCTACTTAGAACAAGCTTAGCAAAGTACAGGGACTGCGGTTCAATCCCCCAGCACCACATGCCAGCCAGCCGTGCCCCCTGGAAAGAAAGAAAGAAAGAAAGAAAGAAA